TATCTTGAAATTTCAAGCTGTGTTACCTTTTTCATCTCAAGTGATTTATTTATTTATTTGTCTATATTTATTTATTTATATTTTGAGGGGGGGTGGGGGAGAGAGAGAGACTTTTAATGTTTATTTTTTAGTTCTCGGCGGACACAACATCTTTGTTTGTATGTGGTGCTGAGGATCGAACCTGGGCCGCACGCATGCCAGGCGAGCGCGCTACCTCTTGAGCCACATCCCCAGCCCTCAAGCGATTTATATAGGGCAATTATTTTTAACTATTGTCTGTATTTCTGTTTTGTAGTTGAAACATTGTAGTCGGTATATACATGACTTGTTTCCTTCACTCATCAAGAATTTGGATCCTGTACCACTTAGACACCTCCTTAATCTGGTTTCAGCTCTTGAGCCAAGTGTTCACACTGAACAGGTAATACATTCAGGACATAATAGTGATATGATCCCCCTGGGAACCCCCCCCCCCCAAATATAAAATGACAACTTATTTTGTGATTCAGGTATTTTACTTGTCACTTATTTATTGTTGACCTTTCAGTTAGACAAAAATGTTTTACATTTGCTACAATGTTTTATAAAGGCTCCAAATTAATCTCTCTCTCTTTGTAGACACTGTACTTGGCATCCATGTTAATTAAAGCATTGTGGAATAATGCACTAGCAGCTAAGGCTCAACTGTCTAAACAGAGTTCTTTTGCATCTTTATTAAACACTAATATTCCTATTGGAAATAAGAAAGGTTAGTAAAGCATATGGTATTTTAAATTTACTTGTATAAAGTTAATGAAATTTGAAGTGTTTTCTGCTATTGGTTGAGCATCCTTAATCTGAAAATCTGAAATTTGAAATGTTCCAAATTCCAAAACTTTTTGAACATTGACATTATGGCACATGTGGAAAACTACACACCTTGCATCATGTGAGAGGTCACAGCCAAAACATAAACATACTAAAATTATTGAAAAATCTTCTTCAGGTTATGTGTGTAAACCTAAAGATGGAAGTGGTGTAAAAGGCATATATGGAATAAAAAATGGATTTTGTGTTTAGATTTTCGTCTCATCATCAAAATATGTCATTATGTATGTGCAGATATTAAAAAATATGAATATATCTGAAATCTGAAACACTTTTGGTCTCGAGCATTTCAGATAAAGGTTACTTGATCTATATTTACAATTCAGTTTTAATTACAAGATAAGTTTGGGAATGGGAAGTATACTCTATATGAAAGGATTAATAATAAATTGTCTTTGGTTCCTGTTTTTGGTTTATCAAGTAAAGTGTAGTAAGTTTTGGTAGGTATGGATATTTCTCATCTTTAATATTGTTTCCTTTAAAAATTAAAACAAATTTGATTTAGAAATAATTTTATGAGTAGAACGTAATAGTTTTCTTTTTGTGTTCCCCACTTGAATATTTTTCTGCTGCGTCAGGTGCTTTATGCGTATCTTTCACATGTGTAACTCTTAAGGACTTCCTAAAATTTTACGTATTTGCACCCAATTTTTTCCCCTGACATTATATACTCCTCTTTTCTTAGGCTAACCTGTGTAGGTACCCACAATAGCTATTCCAGGTTTCCCTGTTTGTATTTTGATTGTGTAATATGAACAACTGATAAGCTGTCCCCCAAAAGCTCAGTCACTTAGAATGTTTTCCTCCTTTCCCCTTCCCCTTTTTCCTTCAGAGGAAGAAGAGCTCAGAAGAGCAGCTCCATCACCTTGTAAGTTGAGCCTTAGAAATGCATGACAATATGACTTACAGTTTTGTTTTAGTGGTCTTCTGGAGTTAATTTATTTTATATAGCAACATCAGTAATAAAGTTTATTTTGAAAAGACATGAACCTTAGTAATCCATCTTCAGTCTTCCCCCTTTTTATTTTGGGTAGTGTTGGGGTTTGAACAAATGGCCTCTCACATGCTATATAGGTGTTCTACCACTTAACTGTACCCCTGTCCTCCATGTTACCCGTTTTGATTCAAACCATTAGTATCTTTTAATTGAAATTGTGTATATCCACTTTTATTTTTTGATACTGGGCATTGGACCCAGGGACACTTTACCACCAGTCCTTTTTGTTTTTATTTTGAGGCAGGGTCTTGTTAAGATGCTGAGGCTAGCTTTGAATTTGCCATTGTTCTGCTTCAGCCTTCTGAGTTGCTGGGATTACAGTTGTGTGCCACCATTTTGGCACTGTGCATCTACCTTTAGAAGTAATTGCCAAATGTGAACAAATTTAGAGATTGTATTTTTGGCTACTTAGCATAAAGCTTTGGCAAATAACTTAAAGAATCAATTTCTTCTGTTACATCTATGCTAGTACAAATTAGAACTAAAAATAAAAAAATCTACTTTCCAGGGTCACCTGCGGCAAGTCCTCAAAGCAGTGATAACAGTGATACACATCAAAGTGGAGGAAGTGACATTGAAATGGATGAGCAACTTATTAATAGAACTAAACATGTGCAACAGAGACTTTCAGACACGGAGGTATATAATTTTTTTTCCCTATTTTCAATGATTTTTATTTCTGCCTTGTTTATCATTTGAACTGGGAATATAAATGTAACCCATGTTGACTCCTTCTCCTTTTAGTATTTTTGACCTCTTTTTAAAAAATTCTATTTTGTATAGTTCAAAAGAATATGACAAGATTGTGGCCATCTTTTATAAAAACACAGTGTTTCCGTATTAGTTACTTTTTTCCTACTAGTTTGACTATTTAAATCTATTTGTTTCTAAATACAGGAATCCATGCAGGGAAGTTCTGATGAGACTGCCAACAGTGGTGAAGATGGAAGCAGTGGTCCTGGTAGCAGTAGTGGGCATAGTGATGGATCTAGCAATGAGGTCAATTCTAGCCATGCAAGCCAGTCAGCTGGGAGCCCTGGAAGTGAGGTGCAGTCAGAAGACATTGCAGATATGGAAGCCCTGAAAGAAGAAGATGATGAGGATCATGGTCATAATCCTCCCAAAGCCAGTTGTGGTACAGATCTTCGGAGTAGAAAGTTAGAAAGTCAAGCAGGCATGTGCTTGGGGGATTCCCAAGGCCCATCTGAAAGAAATGGAACAAGCAATGGAACAGGAAAGGACCTGGTTTTTAACACTGAGTCGTTGCCATCTGTAGATAATCGAATAAGAATGCTGGATGCTTGTTCTCACTCTGAAGACCCAGAACATGATATTTCAGGGGAAATAAATGCTGCTCATATAGCACAAGGTTCTCAGGAGTCTTGTATCACACGGACTGGAGATTTCCTTGGGGAGAGTATTGGAAATGAATTATTTAATTGCCGTCAATTTATTGGTCCCCAGCATCACCACCACCACCACCACCACCACCACCACCACCACCATGATGGGTAAGCCTGCTTAAAAATAACTATTCAGCTTGCATTTCTTTTACGGAAGTATTTTAGCTACATTTATTCAGTTAAAATTTATTCTAGATTATTGCTGTTAAATAATATGGTGCAAACTGTAAATGCTAGTCAAATTTATAGTATGCACATTTAAAAAAGCAAATGAAGCAGTATGATTAATTTTCGTTGTATATTTAAATGAGTTTTTTCTAAAATATCATTTCCAAATTAATCAGTATGAAAATTAAGATACTTTGCATTTTTTAATAAGAATTCTTGAATACTTAGTGTATATTTTATAATTTTTTATTCATCTCTGTTTAGCCACTTTTTACATGTGTGTAGTGACCATAAATGTCTAGTGGATATCATATTGGAGAGCACAGATTTAGACTTTTAGCACTTGTATCGCCTGAAAGCAGATTTCAGATTGCTCATGCATGGATCTGGGGGTGTGGCTCAGTAGTAGGGCACTTGGCTTGCATGCATGATGCTGTGGGTTTAATCCCAGCATTGCCCCCAGAAAAACCCATCAAGGAAAAAAAACCCCCACAAGATTACTTTTGGAAACTGCTTCTAAACTGTGATGATGAAAAGGGAAGTTAAATGCTTTTCCTAATTAAATACTAATTAGGATAAGTTGTAGTATAATTTTTTTGGTTATCTGTGAATTATACCCATAGTATTTAATAATGATTCTTACTAGTGATATTATATTGAGCCAAATATTTAATTTTTCTTTAATTTTCTCACATATAAAATGGGAAAAATAGTAATAGTACCTCTGTCATGGGCTTACTGTGAGAATTTGTGGACTAATGTGATTGTCACAAAATAAGTGCTCAGTAAGTATTAGCTGCTATTTATTATTGTCATTAAAAAGAGTAGATTTTTTTTTTTTGTACTGGGGATTGAACCCAGGAGTTAAACCACTTAACCACTGAGCCACATCCCTAGCCCCACCCCCTGCCCCTTTTTGAATATTTTTGTAGTTGTAGATGGACATAATACCTTTATTTGTTCATTCTCCCAGGATTGAACCCAATGCCTCATGCAAGCTAGCACTCTACCGCTAATTCACCCCCCACCCCCACCCCACTACAGCCCTATAGTTTTATTTTGAGACAGGGTCTTTTTGAGTTGCTGAAGCTGGTCTTAATTTGTAATCTTCCTGCCTCACCCTCTTCAGTTGCTGAGCTTATAGGCATGTACCACCATGCCTAGCCAAAGAGTAGTATTTTGAGTTGATGATGAAACATGAATATGTGATTTGTCAGAATGAGTTTTCTTAGCCATGACATTTTGCTAGATCTTCCAGAATTCAACTGAGTTGTTTGAGTGCTCTATATATTTGTACTTAACTACTTTGTTTCCTTTTTCTGTTACTAACATATTTAAATTGAGGGCAGTGTTTCTTAGTCTTGACACAGTTGACATATTGGGCCATATAAAGTATTTTTGCTGAGTTGCACACAATACCTTTATTTTACTTTTTTTTTTTTAAAAAAAGAAAATGTGGATTTATTGTGCACATTAGCAGGTCTGTACATAAAAATGCACAGAGGTTTTATATACCACTTACAGTAACAGCTCAGAGTAAAAAGGAAGAAAGAATCTGAAATGTTAGACTTGCTCGGAAATAAGGCTACCTGGGACAATGCCACTATCTAGCTTCATCAGAATTTTTACTTCTCCAACTTTTTAGCAGTGGCAAATAATAAAAAAACAAACAACAACAAAAAACCCTGATAGTTAAAATATGTAGCAGTCACTCCATATACTGCCCCTCCCACCCAACCTTATGAATAATAGGGTTTTTTTTTTCAAGTTTTATTCCCCTTTCATTTAAATTTAGTGGAAAAAAACTTAAAAAGTCATGTTGTAGCAATGTGTCCCCATGCAGAATTGCAATTTGCCAAGATTGTAATGTGTTTTGAGAGAAATCTTACTGAAAAAATAGTGATGACCATTTTCCAGTGAATCTTGAGTGAAAAATCATTTGTACCCCAATCTGAGGTATAAATTTGCATTTGGGGGGACACAACTACTGTAAATTAGACAATTGTAGCAACCACCCAAGACAATAAATGAAAGCGTATGACAATCTGCCACATTATAGTGAGTGTCTCTTCAAAGTTCATCATGATTTTTAGTGAGATCTTCCCCATAATTGGTAGCTTGGCTTCCAACAAACATGTTCCAGTTGTCTAGTATCTCCTCTTTAGTTAGCTTCTCATCCTTGTTCTTATCCGACTCGTATACCAGGTGCCTGGCCTCGGCCTGGGCATGGTCATAATCTTGAGGGAGGATCCAGTGGCGAATCTCGTCTTTGTCCAGCTTCCCATCCTTGTTCAGATCCCGGAAGTCACTGAACTGCTCCCGTTCAGACAAAACCCAGTCTGGCTCGGGGCCATTATCCTCGTGAGAAAACATATTGGCAATGTACTCATCCTGGTCCACAAACCCATCCCCGTTCTTGTCGATGTCCTCCAGAGTTTCCAACACCACAATTTCCTTCATATGCTCAAACTCCTCAGGATGTAGAAAGGCAGTGAACTCCTCTCGAGTAGCTGTCAGGTCCCCATCGAGGTCTGCAGCCTTGAACCTTCTCTCATCACGTGGCAGCATCTTTTTGAAGGTGTGATGATCGGAACTATCTTGGAACTCTGTGGGGTTTCC